GGCTCTGGGGTGCCCCATGGATGGGGAATGCCTGGGGCTGTTGTGGTTCCCCCTCCCTGTGCCACATCCATCACACCACCCCTCTGGGCTGACCCCAACCCACAGGACCCCACAGCCAGACCCCAGGTGCCCACATGATGCCCCGGCCGGGAGCCAAGCCCCCCCAGAGCCCCTACCCGCCTGCACGGCGTCCTGCAGCAGCTCCAGCTGGTGGCCTGGCAGGGACAGGTCCCTCCGGTCCTTCGCCTCCGTCTCCACATCCGCCCCTGCACGGGGACAGCCACGGGACAGCCCCTTACACCCCACCCGGGCACCGCAGATGGATGTGGTAGAGGGGCACCGACCGCCTTGGGGGCTCGATGGGGACCCCATTCCTCCCCCGGAGGTGCCCAGGCTGTGGGGTGCTCCCCCTCTCCAGGCCGTGCCCACCCAGTGCCCTCCCCGCTCCCACCTACCTGTCCCCAGGCAGACCACCACGACGTCGGCCGCCCCCGCCGCAGCCACCACCTCTGCCCGCGAGTACGGCTGGCACCGCGGCTCCCGGCAGCCCGCCGCGAAGCTGACGTTGGCCGGCAGCGTCTCCAGCCCTCTCCTGTGCCGGGGAGAGCAGAGGGGACAGGAGCTGCTGTGCCCCGGGGTCGGGGTGCCTTGGGGAACCCCCCCTTGCCCCGACCCCCAGCGAAGGGTCGAGCGGCTGCAGCAGCAGCACTGGGCAGTGCCCGTGGCTGGGGCTGGCCGGCAGCACCGCGCTGGCTCACCGGGGAGTGTAGATGTACCGCGGCTCCGGCACCGGCGCGTAGTCCCCAAACAGCACCCGGGGGTTGTCGGCGAAGGGACCCACCACCTGCAGAGGGCAGAGGGGTGATGGTGGGCACCGGCAGCCCTGTGCCACGCAACCTTGCAGGTCACCCCTGTGTGCCCGGGGTACGGAGCCAGCAGTCCCCGGGTCACCGTGTCCCCCTGCCACCTCCGTTCGCGGTGCTCACCGCGAGGCGTTTGCCGGGCAGGTCCTGGGCCCGGAGGGGCAGCGTCCCCCGCACGTTCTTCAGCAGCACGAAGCTCTTGACAGCAGCTTCCAGGGAGAGGTTGCGGTGCTCGGGGCTCTGCACCACGCTCAGGTCCAGGGCACTGTAGGGGTTCATGGCCGGGGGGTCGAACTCCCCCAGCCGCATCCGCGTGTAGAAGAGAGGCCGGACCCGGTCGCGCAGCATCTGGAAAGACCCCGGCACCCAAACCTCGGTGGTGCTCAGAGGGGGGGGGCAACCAGGGCTCCCTGCCCGTGCCCCCCACTCACCTGCAGCGTGATGTTGCCCGTGGCCAGAGCCTGGGGGATGTGCATGAAGACGTTGTTCCTCATGCCGTAGGAGAGCTCCAGGTTGCAGCCGGCGTTCATGGAGGCTGCCGTGCCGGAGAGAAGGGAAACGGCCCGTCACAGCCGCCTGGTGCCCGGGGACCCCGCGCCCGTCCCGCCAGCTCACCGACTGCCGTCTCCAGGAAGGTGCGGGTGTAGTGGTGCCCCAGCATGATGAGCTCCAGGGCCCCCTCGTCGCTCACCACGTAGCCCTCGAACCCCCACTCCCCGCGCAGGATGTCCGTCAGCAGCTTCTTGTTGGCGCAGGCGGGAACGCCGTTGATCCTGTGGGAGAGGGGATGGGGCAGCCCACCTGCCCGGCCACCGGCCCCCCCGCGGGCACCCCCCGCTGTGCCCGGTACCTGTTGTAGCTGCACATGAAGCTGTAGGAGCCGGCTTGCACGCACGCCTGGAACTGGGGCAGGAAGGTGGTGCGCAGGTCCCGCTCCAGCACCTGCGAGCGTAGCAGCAGAGAGGGCTCAGTGCCCGGAGGGGCTACCAGCCATCCCACGGCCTTGCCACACTCACCTTGGCATCAAAGCTGAGCCGGGAGACAGGGATGTTCTCGGGGCCCCCGTGCACGCTGAAGTGCTTGCAGCCGGCGCTGGCCTTGACGTAGCGGGGGTGAGGACCCTGCAGCCCCTGCACGAAGCTGCGGGCCAGCTCCCCGCTCAGGAACGGGTCCTCCCCGTAAGTCTCCTGCCCAAGGTGCAGGTCGGTCACTGCCGGGACCCCCAGCCCTGCGCCCCCGCAGCCAGCGCCCTGGGGACCTGCTGCCACCCTCCAGCCGGTCACCCACAGTTCTGCATGGGCCCCCCAAGTGCTGGCACCTGGTTCCTGCCCCACAGCGGGTGCCGCATGATGTTCAGGACGGGGCTGAAGCAGCTGAGCCCAGTGTGGTCCCCGTAGCGGCCGGTGGCAACGAAGTCATTGTGCTTGGCTCTCACCTCGGTGGCGGTGGCGTTGGCCACCCGGTAGATGAGCTCAGGGCTGTGCGAGGGGTGGGCAGGGGTCAGGGGACACGGAGGGGTCCGTCCTGCGGGGCCAAGTCCCGCACTCACGGATGCCCCGTCCCCTGGGGGTCCATCCCCGAGGGAAGGGGGGGGGGTCCCATCCCCGGTGCCGGTACCTGAAGGCGGCAGCGAGCCCCAGTGCCTGGGGGAAGGCCGTGGCCCAGCCGGGGGCCTCCGCGTCGCCCCGCAAGCACTCGGTGTTCCAGTTGTAGGGCCCGATGCCCAGCCGGGGGATGGGGGGCGCGGGGCCGTTCCCCATCGCTCCCCCCCTCGCCACCTGCGGGGCAGCGGCGCTGAGCGAAGGGGGATCCCCGGGGGGGGAGTGGGGTGGGGGGGATGTCCCGGGGCCGCCCCCGCCGCCCCCTCACCTGCAGCACCAGCTCGGCGGGGCTCAGCCGGCCCAGCAGGTCGTCGAGGCGGCGGTGCCAGGGCAGGGCCGGGTCCTGGAAAGGGAAGGAGAAGGCGAATGGCTGCGCCCGCCCCGGCCCGGAGCACAGCAGCAGCACGGCCACGGCCCGGAGCCCCGCCAGCCCCGCCACCGCCGCTCCCGGGGCCGCCGAGCTCCGCCGGGCGGGCGGGGAGGGGGGGGCGGTTCGGCGCGGCATGGAACGGGCTGGGAACGGGCTCGGTTCCCGGGATCGGCCCCGGCCCGCAGCTCCGAGACCACGGGCGATGCGGGGCGGGACGGGGCGGGACGGGACGCGCTGCAGGTCGGTCCTGCGCCCCACCGGACGGGGCGGAGCGGGGCGGGACGGCACCGGGAATCCCGGGACTGGGGGTCCCGGGTCGGGGGATGCTGGTGTTGGAGGACCCGGGTTGGGGGATACTGGTGCCAGAGGTCCCAGGTTGAGGGATACTGTTGCCAGAGGTCCCAGGGCTGGGGATACTGGTGCCAGAGGTCCCAGGTTGAGGGATACTGGTGTTGGAGGTCCCGGGATGGGGGATACTGGTGTTGGAGGTCCCGGGATGGGAGATACTGGTGCCGGAGGTCCTGGGGCTGGGGATACTGGTGCCAGAGGTCCCGGGTCAGGGGATACTGGTGCCGGGGGTCCCGGGTCGGGGGGTGCTGGTGCCAGGGGTCCCGGGGATGAGGGTCACGGGGCGGGGAATCTGTGGATGCCTCATCCCTGGAGACTAAGACCAAGAATTCAAGGCCAGGGGTTTGAGACGGTTGATACTGGTGCCAGAGGTCCCAGGTTGAGGGATACTGTTGCCAGAGGTCCCAGGGCTGGGGATACTGGTGCCAGAGGTCCCAGGTTGAGGGATACTGGTGTTGGAGGTCCCGGGATGGGGGATACTGGTGTTGGAGGTCCCGGGATGGGAGATACTGGTGCCGGAGGTCCTGGGGCTGGGGATACTGGTGCCAGAGGTCCCGGGGCCGGTACCTGAAGGCGGCAGCGAGCCCCAGTGCCTGGGGGAAGGCCGTGGCCCAGCCGGGGGCCTCCGCGTCGCCCCGCAAGCACTCGGTGTTCCAGTTGTAGGGCCCGATGCCCAGCCGGGGGATGGGGGGCGCGGGGCCGTTCCCCATCGCTCCCCCCCTCGCCACCTGCGGGGCAGCGGCGCTGAGCGAAGGGGGATCCCCCGGGGGGGAGTGGGGTGGGGGGGATGTCCCGGGGCCGCCCCCGCCGCCCCCTCACCTGCAGCACCAGCTCGGCGGGGCTCAGCCGGCCCAGCAGGTCGTCGAGGCGGCGGTGCCAGGGCAGGGCCGGGTCCTGGAAAGGGAAGGAGAAGGCGAATGGCTGCGCCCGCCCCGGCCCGGAGCACAGCAGCAGCACGGCCACGGCCCGGAGCCCCGCCAGCCCCGCCACCGCCGCTCCCGGGGCCGCCGAGCTCCGCCGGGCGGGCGGGGAGGGGGGGGCGGTTCGGCGCGGCATGGAACGGGCTGGGAACGGGCTCGGTTCCCGGGATCGGCCCCGGCCCGCAGCTCCGAGACCACGGGCGATGCGGGGCGGGACGGGGCGGGACGGGACGCGCTGCAGGTCGGTCCTGCGCCCCACCGGACGGGGCGGAGCGGGGCGGGACGGCACCGGGAATCCCGGGACTGGGGGTCCCGGGTCGGGGGATGCTGGTGTTGGAGGACCCGGGTTGGGGGATACTGGTGCCAGAGGTCCCAGGTTGAGGGATACTGTTGCCAGAGGTCCCAGGGCTGGGGATACTGGTGCCAGAGGTCCCAGGTTGAGGGATACTGGTGTTGGAGGTCCCGGGATGGGGGATACTGGTGTTGGAGGTCCCGGGATGGGAGATACTGGTGCCGGAGGTCCTGGGGCTGGGGATACTGGTGCCAGAGGTCCCGGGGCTGGGGATACTGGTGCCAGAGGTCCTGGGACTGGGGGTCCCGGGTCAGGGGATACTGGTGTTGGAGGTCCCAGGATGGGGGATACTGGTGCCGGGGGTCCTGGGTCGGGAGATACTGGTGCCAGGGGTCCCGGGGCTGGGGGTCCCCGTTTGGGGGATGCTGGTGCCAGGGGTCCCGGGGATGAGGGTCACGGGGCGGGGAATCTGTGGATGCCTCATCCCTGAAGACCAAGACCAAGAATTCAAGGCCAGGTTGGACGGGGTTTGAGCCCGCTGGTCCAGTGGAAGGTGTTGGAACCAGATGAGCTTTCCGGTCCCTTCCAACCCAAAGCCTTCTGGGAGCCTGGCCATTTTCCCACCAGGGCTGGGAGCAGGAGGGGACCCGGTGCCCCCAGACTGCTCCCTGCGCTTTAAGGCTGGGAGATGGGGGAGCACAGACATCTCAGCCTCTCGCTGGCACCGCATCCAGCTCCTGCCGGGGATGGCGGCGACGCTGGCGGTTCCCCAGCCTGGATGGACCATGCCAGGAGCTGGTATCAGGCCTCACAGCCCGCCAGCAGCCCAGCGAGGACGGGCCGGGCTGTCCCGGGGACGTAGCCATGTAAGGCAATGCCAGCGGGTCGGCCGCAGCCGGCGAGAGCCCGGCGGCCCCCACGCCCCCAGCACTGCTGCTCGGTGGTGACAGCGAGCCATCCCCAGCTGCTGGATTCCTGAGCAGCCGGCGGGGGTGGGAGGGTCCCCACTAAGGGCTCCTTCCAGCTCAGAGCACATCCTCCATCCCACTGCCCCGGCTGCAGCCACCCCTGAGTGCGGGGCAGCAACCAGGACTCGCTCAGCGACACGTCTGGGATAGAAACATCCCCAAATAACTAACTAACCACCTCTGGGAGCAGAGGCTGCTGCTCGGGGGGGGGCTGCGCTGGCTGGAGAGGGTCAGTGGGGCTCGGTTGCTCCAGTAAATATTTACTGCAGTTGGATAAAGCCCTGCACTGGGCTGATTTTGGCGACACTCCTGCCCTCAGCTGCATTTCCCCATGGCCATCGTTGCTCCTCACGGGTGCCAAGTGTGGACACCCTGTGCCCAGTGGCCCCCGGTCCCACCCCCGGGCTCCCAGCTGGTCCTGCCCGGCCAGCCCTGGGCTCGCTCCCTCCGTCCCAGGGGACAGCAGCAGCCCTTGCCCCACAGAGCAGCTTCTGCCCAGACAGCGGGGCCGGGGCAGCGGGGGCAGAGCCGGGGCCCATCCCCGGGGGGTGCCCCAAGGCCGGGCCGGACGGGGCCTGGAGAAACCCTCTCCGGTGGTCGGGGTGTCCCTGCCCAGGGCGGGGGGTGGCACCGGATGAGCTTTAAGTTCCTTTCCCCCCCAAACCGCTCCATGATTGATCCCTTGTTCATCCCGCAAAACCCCTCACAGCCACCGGCGGGGCTGGGGGCTCTCTGCAGGCCCTGCCGCCCGGCCCTCCCCTCCCCGGGGACCGGGCACGCCAGCAGCACCGCAGTCGCCGCCGCGAGCAAGGCCCCCCGCTGCCGGCAGGCACACCGGGGAGCGGGGGGAACCGGAAGGGGGTCTCCAGGAACGGGGCCTACAGGAAGGAGTCAGGAGTAACGGGGTCGGCGGGTCGGGCCCAGCCCCGGCGCAGAGAGCGGCCCGGCGGGGAATGGCGCCCCCTGGCGGCACGGCCCCGGCACGGCCCCTCGCCCCGCCCACCCTGGCGGTCAGGTGACCCTCCCCGCACGCCGGGATTTGTAGGCGCCCCTCCGTCACGTGAGGCGGGGT